TGAGGTGGCCTGGCTTTTAACAGTGGTAGCAGATGAATGTAGTTGTCGAGTTCTTCTTGGGGCCCCAAGAATCAGACTTAGGGTCTGTTTCTCTTGGTGTTGCAGCAAAAGCAGCTGCTTTTTCTCAGTCTCTTTGTTTTCTCTCCTTGGCCTCCTCCTTGTCACGGCTATAGAATACTGAGGAGGCAATTCTTACTAACATCTCAAGTGAGCCATCTCGGGCAAAAGCCATTTTTTGTAGTTTTTTCTCTCCAGCCTCCCATCACACTGGGACCCCACAACCACTTATTGTCCTCTCCCCAACCGTCAGCACAGGTAGCAGGAATCTTGGTGCAGACAGCAGCTCCAGTTTAAAAATGGACCTGTGGGTTGTGAAGCATTTGAGAAATCTGATTTTTTTCTGATAATAACTTCTGATTAACACTCCATCTCTTGGGTCTGCCCTATGTGTGTATGAAGTAGTAAGAGGGAAAATTGGCAGAGAACTCAGGCCAAGTTTAACTCTGAGGCCCTCATTCTCTTTTTGGATCTTTTTATTGCTTGGTAAATAAATACCAACTCTGTCCCTGTATAAGCCCCACCCGTCATGTCTAGAAATGTGAATGAAGAGCAGCGCATGCAGAAAACCTTCCATACACACTTGAACCCATGTTTCACCATCACACTTGGAGTGCACTAGTAAGTTTTAGTGTCTTGCCCAGTCATAGTGGCTACTTTGAGCGGTCCTGGGGTCACAGTCACATGGCTGACATCCTCTGCCAGGGACCAGGTTCCAGTATCCACCATCACTGCGGTCACAGGCCAGGCCTGTGACATTTGACAGACAAGGACATGCCCCAGTGACAGGTCACAGAGGAAAGTTGCACCGGCCGGGGGACTATCCCCAAGACTCACCCTGGGAGGGTGGCAGGAACAGGCCCAGGATATCAAAGATGTTGTTAGAGGTAAATTCTATAAAGGTGGCATTTCACAAACCATCTGAGCAGATTTGTAGACCTACCGTATCATTTCTCCAAAGGGCTTGAGGAAGAAACACCTTCGAATACTACAGGATTTATTAAAGACTCTAAGCAGGTTGAACCCATTCGATTATTTTGACCTCCCCAAGGCCAATTTCACATGGATTAACCACCTATGCTTCGGGAGCTCACAGTGAGGATGGCTCCCTTTCCTGTCATGCTTGTCTCTAAAGTTCTATTTATTTAAATGATTTGGGATAAATGGTTTACTAAATTGACTTGTGTAAGCTGAAATTACTGAAACAGCTCCTAAAAAGTGAACATTTTATTTCCCCTCATCTTTTTTTTTTTTTTGGTTTTTCTCCGGTACCGGGAACCGAACTCACGACCTTGCGCTTGCCAGGCAGGCGCTTTGCCGCTGAGCTAAATGCCCAGC